CCCTCTGGATGATTAGAGAAATGTATCATCACCCCCACAACATCATTCATATCTTTTCATATCACGTATACTCCTATCTCTTATCACTCTCCCTTAGATTCCTCTTTTTTTGCAACAACTCTTTTCCGGAGATACCTTTTCCACTGATTTCCGTTGGTTTTGTCATATGACCCCTCGGCTTTTGATGATTTTTGATATTTTCTAACTTGACACCTAGAGGAACCTATCCCCTAGGTGCAAACTTGACACCTTTTTTTACGTTTTACTAGAGTCGTGAGTCTTGTCACTAGGAACTTTAATCTTGTTTCAAAAACTATGAAAAGTCTCACTGGAAACTGATATGGGGTAGTTTTGGGCTCAAGACTTTTTCTAGGTTTTCAAACATTCTTCAATTTTTTGAAAGGTTGAAACTATGTTCTTCAGACTCCTTATAAACATTCACACAGCTCAAAAAAATTTCCATGGTTTCAGACCCACTGGGAGTCGAGATACAGCTAGAGTGTCGTCGTCTGCATTCTCCTCCTCTCTCGCCTATAGAAATTTCAATTGGATGTAACTTGTGTTCTAGAGCAACTAGAGAGTTGGTTTTTGTACCAAAATGTTAGGTTTTTTGAATATTTTTCATGTTTCTTTAAATATGATAGAATTTTGGGGTAGATTAATCTAACAAATGTTGTCTAATAGCTTATCAACACGTCATTAGGTGAGGTGTGAAGAAGAAAGTACAAAAGCAATAATCGATAACAAAATTTGCACTTCCGGTTATTACCCCATTGTTATTGTTCCCTGGAGGGTGTTAGTTTGAAATTATTCGTAGTTCCGAGCACCCAGGGACCTAGGATTTTTTCCAATTTTTACTAAAAAAGTGCTATTCTTCTAGGCCACCGACTAGTTTTCTAGGCCATGTACTAAAGGTTTCTGGGTCACTAATCTAGTTTCAGGAGCCAACGCTCAAATCTGTGGGGTTACAGGGTTTCCTTGGCCATATTTCTGCTTATAAACTATTGAAAAGCCCTCTGGGACCCGATCTATAACCATTGGAAAGATTCAAGAGACGCAGAGAGTCAGAGTGTCTCATCGTCTGCGCTCTAGCCTGGTTTCCTTTTGGAAATTTCGAGATTCTATCAAAAATTCCGTAAAACGTTTAAAAATCAGAGTTTGCATGGAACTAAAGCTATTAAAAATGCGAGAAAAAAACCCTTCAGATATTTCTAGCTTTTTCCATCTGCTACTTCAATCCCAAGCCTGAAAAATTTTGAAAACTATGATGTATTTTTTCTTTTTGAAAAACACTTAATTTCTGCTCATTGATCATCGATAAATAGGTTATATTACTTTTTATGTCATTTTTTCTTATCAAAACGAAAACAAAGAAATGTGTTATCACTAAAATATTTTGGCGCCTTCCCCCCTAGAGGGTATTTGCCAGAATGAAATCCCTTTTTTTCTAGCTGGAACTAGCTAGTAATTCATTCAAGGAGTTCCCAGATTTGTGCGTCCAATTTTTCCCCATAAATTGGTTTCTAAAAAAGCTAAAAAATTGGTTCTTGGACTAAATGGATCGGATTTTCAGCCTTTTTTAAGACTTGACAAACTTTTTAGAGCTAAAAATTCACACAGTCCAAAAAAGTTCCATGGTTCCAGACAGACTTGGAGCTCGCTATCCGAAAATTTAGATGGATGTAAGATGGTTGCTAGGAAAGCTAGAAAATTGGTTCTTGGACTGAGTTGATCGGATTTTCAGTCTTTTTTTGAATTTGATAAACTTTTTAAACTGCAAAATTGTTCTCCTTCATCTTCTTATCTTCTGATGAATGTCACGTCTCTCTAGTAGAGTTGACATGTTTGTACTTAAAACAACTGACACATAAAGAAAAGCAAAACGTTTTGTTTTTGTTTTTAGTACTTTTTACTGTAGAATGCTTTCAGATTCGCCTAGAAATTATTTCTTCTTTTTTTTGAGATTGCTGAAAATTTCAGACCTCCTGTTTCTTAATTTTTTGTCTTACTCCTCGTTTAATCTCTCAAACTTTCGCTGTAAAGTTCAAACATTCAGTTAATTTCAAATTTTCTGAATTTTGATTTTCTTTTTTTCTTTAAGAAGCCCAGATTTTCAGACTTGCCAAACTTGTTTCTAGAATTCAATTTTCAGAAAATTGGACAAATTACTTGTAGAACATCTCCCGAAATCTTAAAAAACCGAATTTGAAATTGAAGAATTTTCAGACTTCCCTCCATAGATTTTCCCCAAAGAAAAAAATGAAGACACTCGTCATTTCCTTTCTTTCTGTTCTAGTTTGGATAAGTTAAGTTTTCCTCCATTCCTCTGTCTCAAGACTCAAAAGTATAATACTCAGTTTCCTTTTTTCGCTGACAATCCATCATTTTTCTGAGGCTCTCTTCCCCATTTTTCCGCTTTTTCTGTCATTGGAAAGTTTGAGAACACTTTCTCTACTTGTCACTTTTCGGTTGCTTTTTACTCATATTCCCAAAAGTTTTCTGATCGATTCTAGAAGTTTCTGAAAGGAGCTTGGAGAAATTACATTTTCAGAGTCAAACATTTTTTCGACTTTAACACTCTTCAAAGTGCTCCGATTTCGTCAGAAGCTGGATTTCTTGATTTTTTAAGTCCTTAGCTTTGAAATGAGCCTAAGCATGGCCCAATTCCTTCGATTTTGATTTTCTGCTAAAATACGGTGACGCACGACCGCGACGCAGCCGAAGTTTAAAAAATTGTCGAATCTAGGCATGTTTAGGCTCATTTTGAAGCTCTCAGTTTGCCATATTCGAATTTTTCGATGGGAAATCATTTTGGCGAGTTATGTACTAAAAACGAAAGCAAGCAATTTTCAAAAAATTTATGAATGCAGATTTTTCAATCTGGGCCGTTTTTGAAACTTCCAAAATTTTCAAAGCGATCGAAAACTTGGAAGACGAGCTTCAGACTCCTGAAGCTGGTCAAAATTGATTATATAGGCTTTTCTTGTGGTTCTTAATTTTTGTTGGAACAATTTGAATCGATCTGACTTCTAAGAACCAATTATTCTCTTTTCGTTGGTAATCTTTTCTTAAGAATCGGTGGTATATTGTTTTTCACACTCTTTTAAATGCTTCTAGAAGAAAAAGGGATGATTTCGTAGTATTTTTTTTTGAACATCTGTTCTATGGTTTCTAGAATTATCAAAAAGCTTAAAAATGTCTTTAGTTAGAAAATGAATTAAAAAAATCTTATAACTGATTTTTTTTGTACCAGAATACTACCGTAAATGCCCCAAAATAACGAGCCTAATTATCTCGAATCCTATGAAAGATATCAAAATTTTGTCTACTGATAAAATATTGGTGATATTATGATAAATATTTTATCAGTTGGCAGGCTTTTGATATCTCTGATAGGAACCGAGATAATTGAGCTCAAAGTGCGGGGGTGGCTTCTATTAGAGCAAACATTTAATTTTCCAGAGTATTCGATACAAACCTACAGAGAGCTCATTCAAAAAATAGAATGTTTTGATATATTTATTTTTTTTTTCGAAATATTTTCTCTCCTCCTGGTCCCTCTTTCCCTGCGTCTCTTACCTTTCCATTCTCTTTTCCATTTTTCAAATATAATAACGATTGTGATGATGAACTTGTGCTCTATATATTTTTTCAATATGTTTGTGTGTTTGTGCTCAATTTCAATTTTTCTACCTCCCTCTCTCCCTCTTTTTTCCGGTTTCCTTTACTTTTATTTTGTTAGTTCTTCTTTATTATTTTCCGGTGGTCCTCAAATTCTTTGAACTTCAATAATCGTTAAAAACCTTGAAATTTCAGATTTTTGAAAATATAATTTTCGAAAAATCATGTCAATCACCTAGGTTTTGAACTTCAATTATCGTTAAAGTAGCTCATGAAATTTTGAAAAACACTCGAAATTAATTTTCCCAATTTTTCAACTAGGTCCTTTGTGCTCATTGAGCTCTTCGGAGCACAAAAATGTCGGAGAGCGAAAAAAGATCCCTAATTTTAAAATTAAATTTTTGAGGTTTCAAAATGTAGACAGGAATTAATTTGGTGGCCTTATTTTTGGTTTTTTTTTTCCTAAATTTTTGAAGTCTAGATGTTTGGACTTTCGAAAATTCACTTTTTGAAACTTTTTTGTAAATTTATAGATTTTGAATTTAATTCTTGCTAGATGCGCTAAAGTTATAGGAAATTCAAAAATACGGAGGTTCCCAGAAAAAATTCAACATTTTGGATTTCAGGAAACTTCAGAAAATCCAAAAATTCACGATTTCATAATTTCAGGATTTTCAGAAAATTTGAAATTTAGAATCCCAGGGTTTCAGATATTTCGAAGAATTCAAAATTCAGAATGCCGGAATACAGGATTTCTTAAATTCAGATATCCGGAATACAGGATCATAGAAAATTCGAAATTGAGAATTTCAGTATTTTCGCAAATTTCAGAAATTCAGAATATCCAAAATTCAAAATTCAAATTTTCAGATTTTTCTAGGAACTACAGGATTTCCACAAGTTTCAGAAATTTTAAATTCAGAGTTCCAGAAAATTCAAAATTCAGAATTAAGAAAAGTCGCAAAGTTCAGATTTTCCTTAAAATTTAGAATTTTTACAGATTTCAGAACATTTCCAAAATTTATAGCTTCAGAATTTTCGAAAATTTTAGAAAATTCAGAAAACTTAAGAATTTCAAATATTTGAATTTCCAGGTGTCAGCATCTCGAGGAACTACAGAAAAATCCCAAAATTCCGGAACAATTTTTTTGCAATATTCCCATTTTTTTTCAAATTTCCCGCCTACACACATTGCCCCTGTCCCCTGGCTGCCGAGTCCTATCCTGTCTAAACTAAGCTAATTTTCGATGCTCCATTTTCGACATTTTATTCGCCTTCTTCTTTTTTTTTCGCTTTTTTGCAATTTCCCCACTTTTTTCCGGAATCAATTTTTTCAACCAAAAAAAATTCACCTCAAAATTTTTCAGAACCATCCAAACATGAACGCGGCAGACGATGAGAACATCACTGCCACGTCATCATTTCTTCTATTACATGATCTTCTTCTAAACGTCTCAACGACGTCTTCTTCGTCTTCGGAATCGTCAGAATCCTCACTTTGGACAACAACGAACAACAAGTGAGTTGTTAAACAAATTAGAAGGGAGAAAAGAGAGTTTATTGGTTTAGAAAGGAGTGTTTTGTCTGGCTGGAAGGATGATTTTTGAGGTTTTCGGGTTTCTAGGAACATCTTCTTTTGTGTGGAGAGCAGAATACAGAGTTCTAGAGTCCTGAAATTAGAAGAAAGTACTCAAAAATGTTCTGAGAAGATTTCGGCTGTAAATATATTCAACACTCCAGTTATCTCAATCTTTTGAATTTGAAAATAATCACTTTTAAGAATCAGCAGGCTATTTTTTAAGTCAATCAGATCTCAAAATTACATACTTTCTATTCAATTACTTAAAAAATTTAAAAAATAGCTGAAAAATCCTAAATTCTGGTCCAAGAACCAACTTTATAGCTTCTCTAAAACATAAGTTACAGCTAGATTAAGTTTCTATAAGGGAGAGAGAGAGAGAGAGACGCAGACGACGAGACACTCTAACTGTCAGGCTGTATCTCGGCTCCCAGTAGGTCTAGAACCATGGAACTTTTTTCAAAGTGTGTGAAATTTTATAAGGAATCTAAAAACTATTGTTTCAACATTTTTGAAAAATTGAAAAAAAATTGGAAACCTAGAAAAAGTCTCGAGGCAGTAACTTAAGACAGAATCATTCAAGAATTTAAAAATAGCAGAAAAATCGCATTCTTGAATCCTGAAATTTCATTTTATCTCTATTTTCTCCTATTTTTCTGAGTTTTGCTTCTTCTAGACAAAACACATCTGCACTCGATTACTCGCTCTCACAGACATTTGATTCTCTTTTTTCTGCCTTCTTTTTCTTCTGTCTCATCTGAATCATCCCGCCCCGTATCTTCTTCTTCTTCTCCGTCCCTCACGTCTTCTGAATCCATCCCGAATCTCCAGAAGACGTCGAAAAGTCATCTGTTAAACTGAGGGGCAGTAATCTTTTTCTTCTTCTCACGCTCTTCTTCTACCCATCACGAGGGTTTAACTCGTCTTTTCACGTCTTCTGAATTCTTCAGATGGGATTCTGGAGAGAGGGACGTCTTCTGAATGGAATTCTGGAAATATTTCTACAAAGACAAGAACGCTGGATTTTTTTTTATTTTTTAGGCATAAAAAAATTTCGGAATAAGAAAACAGGAAGCGAGGGAAAATTTGTTTTCTAGATTTTTTTTTCTGGAAATCCAACTCGGTTACCTTACTTACTGGAAAACGAGACTGGTGGCCTAGAAATTCAAATTTTGGAAATTCAACCTGGCCGAGTTTTCGAAATATCTAGGCCATGAAAGTTCCTTGTTCATAACCCCTGTATCTTATCTAATATTCAACCGATTTTGGTTGTTTTCAGCTTCAAATTTTGGATTTTTCAAGGGCTTTTGAATAAATAAATTTGTGACCAAGTTTGAATTATTTTAAATTGTTAAAATGTTAGACTTGTCCCCGATTTTTCAAAATATTCAGGTCATGAAATTTTTAGATTTTCAAAATCCTGTAACTTCTCTCAAATTCAGACAATTTTAATGATTTTTAGCTTGAAATTTTGGATTTTTCAAGAGCTTTCAAATGAATATATTTTAACAAAATTTGGCATATTTATAGTTGTCCAAATCTTGGACTTGTATTGCCGAGTTTTCTGAAATTCTAGCCCATGTAATTTAATAATTTCAAACTTCTGTAACTTCTCTGAAATTCATCCGATTTTGATGATTTTTGACTTGAAATTTAGGACTTTTCAAGAGCTTTCGATTCATATATATTTTGAATAAATTTCAAAATTTCAAAGTTTCTGAAATTTTGGAATTTGAACCCTTACCTAAAAAATTACCGAAAAATTACCAAAACCCCCCATTGTTCCAAAATCCCTAATACTACCTTTGACCTTTTTTATGGTCCTCCCTCATAACAGAGAACACTCTTTTCTCTGCGTCTCTCTATTTTCCATACTCTCTAACTCTTCTTTTCATTTCGCGGGGGTTCTCCAGACACCTAGGCCCTACACTTAACCACCCATTTCCTATTCTAGTGACGACACTTTTTCTTTTGCTCAAGAACAATTTTTGTAGTGATTTTTAGAAAATTTTAGAGGTCATTTTTTCTACAGTAATCCCTTTTGAGTCCAAATGACACTATACTGTACTTTTTGGTCTCTCTAATCAGCTGAAATTTTCTGTACTGAAAAATTCTGGGCTAAAGAATATTGAAGAATTTTTTTCGAAAAAGAATATGTTCTAAAAATGATTTCAGCCAATTTTTTTCTCAAACACATAGATCATATTTTTTCTCCTTTTTAGTTTTTTTTTGGCTAAAATTTATGCGAGAAAATCTTTTTTCCTATTTTCATTCTTTTTGACCCCAAAGTTAGCCGAGAATTTGAAATTCCAGATTTTAGAAAATTCAAATTCATACCAATTTTCCCATCCGAAACTTTAAATGACTCGGAAAATTGATTTCCAGTTGAAAAAATTCCAGAAATTTCTAGAAAAATCTGAAATTACAATTTTCTCTTCAAATCTCTTTTTTGACCAAACTTTTGAAACTTCAAAAATTTTCAAATAAACAATCCCTAAATTTTTTCCCACAAGGTCTTAAAATTTTTGTTCTTGACCAGTAAGCTTTTGTAGGATAAACAAATTTTTCGGGCACACAAAATGTTCAAAAGAGCACAATAGAATGGAGAAATTGGATTTTTTCGCAAAATTTGGATTCTGAAAAAATCTGAGAATCAGAAAAAAAAAACAAATTTTGAACTTTTGAATTCCTGGAGATGTTCCTTATTCTTTTTTTTTTTTTCAAAAATCCCTTTTCTCTAAAAGACTATATTTTATGGTTTCTGCTCTTTTAATCCCTTCTCATTTTTCTCGTTTTTTTTTTGCTTGACTTGCTTCTGTGTCCAATTAAAATGAATAAATGAAACTCTCCACACCCTCACATCATTTTTTCTCTTTTTTCAGG